GAATAAAAATATTACCAGGAAAGAACTAGCGCCGAGTGAGATAGTGAATTAATGCAGTGCAAACAGAAAACCTAGAGCCCCCATACGCCGGTCTGTATTTCCACCAGCGTTTTAGACACACGCTAATGAGGGTGCTAAGAAGTCTCCCAACCTACACCGCTGTCCCCCTGCTAAATCGCAGTGTTTCAGAACTTTTTAAAAGTTGATCAGTAGAGCGAGAGGACTGAAAATTCATTATATCTGACACAACAGCATTGATCAAAGACAGTAAGAAGGTTTTTATAGCTAGCTTTACAACCCATAAAAATCAGGGGGTTTTCCTACTTGTGTTTGCCTTTAACTTAGGTGTTATCAATCTATACAGCAGATGACGGATGACCTTGTCCAAGTGACGCCAGTCAAAACATTTTTTGCCTCAGCTCTTGTTCAAATTTGTGTTAAAATGTCCTGCCGTAGACACAGACAAAATCTAAACAGCAGCAGCTTTCCCAGGCTCTGCGAGAATGAAGGGTGGGTGGGAAAGAAATAACTGGAAAGCGGGTGGTGGTGGTGGGGGGAGATGGCATTAATTGTTTAAATGCGCTCACGTTGTGTTTGTAAGCGTGTGTGCGCGTAGTGGCGGTGTGACATCTAACAGCGGAGGCTTTGTTCACACTCGAGAGATGTTTTGACGATATAAACACTTTATGTAAATATTTTGTCTTAAATGTATAGGCTACTATATACATGTGATATATGTAAGACAAATGATAGCGCTTGTCTAGTTTTTCATGCGATGCAGGAAAGAAACTGAAGAACCTGTTAAATGCTCATTGGTATGTGACCTTTCTCAACAGCTGAGTAGAGGGGAGGAAAAAGCCCAATATTAAGCTAAGCGGAGAAAAAAACAAAAAAGTAGTTAGAGATTAAAAGTCTATCGCCGTAGGTTGCATCTCCCTCTGCATAGCTCTTGGTTTGTGCTGTGACTTGAGTATAGCGAGGAGGAGAGAGACTTGCTGGTGCTCGAGAGGACAAGGTTACAGGAGAAGGAGATTCTGGAGCAATGAGTTTCCTCATCCGTGTTGGGAGCTCTTGGGGCAGGTCTTAGGTAGCCGAGGGGAGCGGGAGGTAGGTGAGCCCAGCAACCAAAAGAAGTAAAGTAGGTACGTAGGACCTGTGTGAGAAGCGCGAAACGGACCGGGAAGGGCTCGGCAGCGCACCTTAGCCCCGAAGGAGAAAAGGCAAGGCCGTCCGAGGAGC